AAAAAACGGTCTGAAACTCAACATCAAAAAACTAAGATCATGGCCACTGGTCCCATCACCTCCTGGCAAATAGAAAGGGAAGATATGGAGGCAGTGACAGATTTTACTTTCTTGGGCTCCATGATCACTGCAGATGGAGACAGCAGCCATGAAATTAAAAGACGCCTGCTTCTTGGGAGGAAAGTGATGACAAACCTCGACAGCATCTTAAAAAGCAGAGACATCACCTTGCCAACAAAAGTCCGAATAGTCAAAGCTATGGTTTTTCCTGTCGTGATGTATGGAAGTGAGAGCTGGACCATAAAGAAAGTAGACCGCCGAAGAATTGATGCCTTTGAATTGTGGTGCTGGAGGAGGCTCTTGAGAGTCCCCTGGACTGCAAGGAGAACAAACCTATCAATTCTAAAGGAAATCAATCCTGAGTGCTCACTGGAAGGACTGATCCTGAAGCTGAGGCTCCAGTACTTTGGCCATCTCATGAGAAGAGAAGACTCCTTGGAAAAGACCTTGATGTTAGGAAAGTGTGACGGCAAGAGGAGAAGGGGACGACAGAGGATGACATTTTTTGCCTTCGCCAGAGTGATCGTTTAGCGATGGCCCCTATGGGTAAAAATCACTTTGCGATGATTGTGGGGACACAATCATGGCAAAGCGCCCATTTTTAACAGCTGATCGACGGTTCCAAAATGGCCGCCGGAAAAACATAATGGCGAATGCTGTTTTGCCTTGCTTTAGAGGTACCCAAAATGGCCGTCGCTATGGAGGATTTTCGCTTACAGGTAAGTTTTTAGTCCATAGGAACGCATTAAACACGTTTTAATGTGTTCCTATAGGCTTTTTAAAATCGCTTAGCGATTAAATCATTTAGTGATGTTTTTTTCCTGCACGGATTGTCGCTAAACGAGGCACCACTGTATAGTAGCTTAAAGATTTTGGATGCAGACAACTGTGGAGGAAAAATATTATGAATGATTTTACTAGTAGACTTTAACATTTTGATCCCAGTTTTTCAAATTCAGCAGAAGCCTATGTTGAATTGCATTAAGGCATGCAGTACACTGTGGTGTATTCTATCAACCAAGGTATCACATCAACTCCAAACTAATGTGTCAGTATAATTATCATAATCCCAGTTTAACAACACTACAGTTGTCTATGAATGAAAGGGCAACAGAAATGTTATATAAGTAGCAGCAATCAGAAGCATTGTTAGCTTACTCCATACTTTTTTTCAGGCAAAATCCAGTAGTCACAAGTAAGACTGGAAATTCTAAAGAAACTGCCAATCAAATGAATGTGCATAATTTTAAAATATGATAATACCACAGACATGGCATAGATTTCATTGAAGTGATACAACATTCTTTAGTCACAGTGTCACAAGTGTATGAAGTTGAGGGAGCCTCTGGAAGCTAAAGGCAAACAGCTCCCTCTGCAATAATGCCACACTTCATGAGACAACTGGCCAAACATTGCTCTTCACTCTCAACTAAAGAGCTCCTCCAATCAGTTCATTAATTTAACGGGTCCCTCATTTCAAAATAAATGGCAAGAAGTATGCTGTACTCTAAGTCTGTGTGAGCAAAATCAGGTATTCTTAATATGTTTATATTGCTTCACCTAAAAGTGTGAACATTAAGGTATGTCTTCTGTCTGTTTTTAGAATAAAAAGAAGTCTTCATTCATTTATTTAAAAGAGTTACAAGAGAAGTAGATCAAGAAAACTTCAGACCAGTTCACAAAATATAATCATATTGCATAAAATCATAAATCTTTCCCTGCTAAATACAGCCCTCAAACTATTCAAACTCTGTCTATGTTCACTGGAGCAAAACTGCTTACCTGAACGTTTCCCAGAACCAAGAGTTGGTAATTATTAGCAGAACATGACATGGGAAGCAAGTTTCATGTTGTCTGGTTGACAGTCTAAATAGTCATAGTTTGTTCAATAATAAATATAGTCCATGACCTACTGTGTCATATTTATAGTGCCTGGATTGTGTGTATACACACACACACACACACACACACACACACACACACACACACACACACACACACACACACACACACATTTTTGTCCTTGGTTCATTTGTTTACAGAAAATCAGGTTTATTTCAATATGCTTAGCAGATGAACCTCAGAATCAGATTTAAGGGATTATGGAAATGTAACTGTGTGTTTAGTATTATAATTACAGTGTACTCCTATACTTAACTACTCAGAAGCAAATCTAATGGCTACAACAGGACTTATAATAATATTGTGTGGAGATAGGGGAAACTCCAAGGTCAGGATACCAGAGACACAAAATGAAGCATCAAGAATGTTATCAAATTCACACACTTTTCTGAAAAGCTTTCCAACAGATCATAAATACACATTTCAATGTGCCCTTTGAAGATGGAATTGTGAAAACCACATTTGGTGCAAGGAAGTCAGGATAGCACTCCGCTGGCCTGAGTCTCTTGATATGCAGATATATTCACCTCTACCTTTCAAAGCAGCTCAATTAACTGTCTATAGCAAAGCACTTTTTGAACTGGATTTTGGCCAAAAAATCCCAGGAATTCACAAATTACTGTAAAGCTTAAGTACTGCAGCTAATATTCTATCTTCCAGGAGATGGGGAGACATGTATTGTTAGCCGCCCAGAGTAGACTTCCGTCTAGATGGGCAGGGTATAAATCAAATGAATGAATGAATGAATGAATGAATGAATGAATGTTAACTCTTTTTTTAAATGTCCACTTGTGGTGTGGATGCAAAGCTACTTTGGGTTCAAATCTAAAGCCAAATGCCTCTCTGTTCTAGGCTCAGACTACCAAGGTGGTTTGTCTTTAGAGCATGTGCAGAGTGCTTCATTACTGTGAACAACAGACGGATGGTGCCAGCTTACTACCGATAAAGTTCAAAGAGAAACCATATTTGGGGCTGGCTGGGTTTATACTCTCCCCAGCTTTAATTAACGCGGAATTCAGACCCCCAAATCATGACACTTGGAACTGCAGAGTTGGAAGGGATCCTATGGATGGAGTACGGCCTCTGTCAAGGAGACACAGTGGGGAATCAATGTAGGCATATGACTGCAGCACTTTAAAAACTGCCATCTGTATGTGAATAGAAACTTTCATTGCCGCCTTGACAGATTGTGTCTGACCCAACTTAGACTCAGATTAACTCAGATCTTTTAAAACCAGATGCAGAATATGAACAAACACTGAGCTATAATTTATTCCCCACTTTATTTCTTCTGGTGCAAATTAAAACATAATAACCCATTCCAAGACCATTAACGCCCAAACTGAACACTCATGCTAGCTTGTGGCTACCTCTCTTTCTAGTGACAGCTAACAAGGTTAAGCATGTCATATGACATTTCTGCATCATTACTATACCAGCACCTCTAAGGTCAGCCCTATAATAATAACCTTAGAACTGAAGAGGTAGAAGGGTCCCTGTGGATCATCGAGGCCAGCCCCTGCCAAGCAGGCACACGGGGGAATCAAATTCCCAACCTCTGTCTCCAAAGCCAGATAACTAAACCACTGAGCTATCCAGCAGATCTACCATCAGCTGGAGTGAGGTAACCACCACAGAGATCAGGTTGTGAAAGGAAAGGGCTGAAAATAATTATAGTCTTTGCTATTACTGTATTTTTACTACTACTAGAGCCTTGTGGCGCAGTGGTTAAACCGCTGTACTGCAGCCAAAACTGTGCTCACGACCCAGGGTTCAATCCCAGGTAGCCGGCTCAAGGTTGACTCAGCCTTCTATCCTTCCGAGGTCAGTAAAATGAGTAGCCAGCTTACTGGGGGGGGGGGCAATATGTAGCCTGTATAATTAACTTGTAAACCGCCCAGAGAGTACTTGAAGCACTATGGGGCGGTATATAAGCAGCATGCTTTGCTTTGCTTTTACTGATGGAACTGTGTTTGTGAAATTTTCTGTCTTGTGTGACAAAATTAACTGACTTATTTAGACCACTCTGTACCTTGACTTGAATGATGTGCCGTTCTCTCTCAGGGGCAAAATCTTTCCTGCCAGTCCTGTGCAGAAGCCAATAAACGTATTATTTGACAGATTCTATAATGAACTAGACAGCATGATTATGATGGCAAGAATGAAAGAAGATGTCACGTCACACATTTTTGCTTGCCTACCAAACCTACCAGGGTACAACGGAGAACAAAATATAAGCCAATATTTTTGAAGCAATAAAGTGTAGTCAGGGCTTAGTAAACTGAAATTAATGACTGAGAAGGCAGAAAGATTTTACAGTACTGCCAATTTTAAAAGAACAATATACAGTATGTCTCAACATAACCTGGTTTTTTTTAAAAAAATCTGTCAGTATCTTCCCTCACGGGGTTAGCAAGAACACCTATAGCATTCTTCTGAAAGCAAACCCATGCACACATATATTCCACACAAAACATAAGAGATATGCTATTTTAAAAGAAACCTCCTCATAAGGCAGTCAAGGCAGGAGTTTTTTGTAGTTCTGTATCTGTTTGGCTAATATAAGACATTGTATACAGGAGCACCCTCTTGTGGAGCCACTGCAAGACTGCAAAATAATCAGAAAACAAAACAAACTCAAAAACCACATGCACCTGCACATGATTTGTTTCAGTTCAGCATATAAGAGGGGATTTTCTCTTTCAAGCAGGTTCACATTTTTCTGCCTTCCACACTTTACACATGTTTGGAGGTTCCCTCAAGTGGAACCTCCAATCACAACATCATCTGAGTATCTTCAGACCTCTTCTCCCTTGTTTTGTCTCTGGACATCAAATGGATATCATGACTTAGACATCAGGATGGGTCCCCTTGCCTCTTCCCCCACCCCTGCCTTGTTTCAACTTGTCTTATGAAACTACCTGGAGATCAAAAGAACATACATAGCTTTTGGTTGACCTAATAAATGTATTATATACTAATAAGGATTTTGGTTTCAGTACATAAGTATATCCAGTGACAGTACGGCTCTCCTCCAAGCATATTATGCTCTCCCACATATAAAGGCTGAATAAGGCCACAACAATCTAAGCCAATTCAAAGATGCATCAAGGATTCCTACTGCAAGTAAACAAAATAATATCTCAGTTTTTTTTAAAAAAACAACTTGCTTTGAATTCCTATACTCTGAAAACAAGACTGCAATTCTAGACCCCTTTTCTTGGAACAAATTGCATGGGCCTTGGCTGAGATTAATTTCTGTTATGTACACATGCAACAGATCTGTTCAAAAACCATTAAATATGAAATATGCCATTTGTTATTACCTTGAATGTAAAGAGAAAATGACAGAAAACCATTTTCAGGCTACATACATCCTGCAGCCAATGGAGGTTCTTAGATGACAGGCATCTGCAAAATAATTTTTAAAACATTTGTGGAGGGAGACCTGTCTACCTCTTGGAAATGAAATATCACAAAGGTCTCCACCATATGGTGCAATGAATTATGTATGCCAAAAAGAGGGGGAGGAGAACTTGAAAACTACTACTATGGCAACTCAGAAATGCACGGAGAATGTTTTTTTCAAGAGAGGCAGCTAAACCTCACACAGATTATCAACACTGTAAAGCAAAAGTTAAAGTTTCCATAGCAACTTTAACTCCAACACACTGTGCAGTGTGTACTAAGGAAGAACGCAGAGAGCAAAACAAAATGCTAAATACTGCAACTTGAGAAAACGCAGGATGGCTACAATAGACATTCTGCATTTTCTCATGCATACATATACACTGCACTAACCTGAGTATTACACCAACTAAAACCTTTTCCCCCCTTTTGCCAGCCTTTCCAAAAGTAGTGTGCCAGAAAGCTTGGACTATAGCTCTCATTATCCCCTTCTATTATGGTGAATGGGCAGAAATGATAGGGAGTTTCAGCTGAACAATCTCTGGGGGCTCTAAGTTAACAAACCATGAATGAGCAGATGTAATGACTACTGTATGTGACTCTCCAAGGAGTTTTGCACTGCAACTCCCATCAGCCCTTGTCAGCAGAGCTGATGGTGAGGGATCATGGGAGGTACTGTCCAGCAACATCTGTAAGGCCACACATTCCCAATCCCTCATTTAGATTTGTTATCTATCCACTCCATTCAACGCTATCTTATCATTTTGGAGAGATACTGAGAATACACCAAACCTAATGGATCTAATACGTATTATAAACACCCTTTTACTTTGCTATTAGAAGGGAGCACTTAATCCCATTCACACACACCCATATCACTGCTTTTTTCACGGGATGACAGAGAAGTTTATGTTCACATGTAGATGCTTCATGTGAGCAAGAACTCTGGTAAATCTGAGTTCTTGCTTACATGGAGAACCTACAAGGAAGCAAAAACCTCTCCTCTTCAGACTCACCCTCTATTCATATGGATAAAACAAAGAGGGGGGAATGTAGCTAGCTCCACCTCTCCTGAAGGCATGTCAATGAAGCTCTGGACAGAGATTCAGAGGGAGAACACAGATTCAAAGTGAGAACAGGGTTGTCTGCCACAGGTATAATGGATAAGTAGTTTTGCTTCTTGAAGCAGAAAGGGAGTATGGTGGTGAGGGGAGGCATCTTTCTCTTTTTATGCAGTTCCATAATGGTCACAAATTTGACATCAGAAACCACAATACACAGAAACCTGTCTCCAACCATTTCAACCTACCAGGACATTCTACACAGGGTTTGAAAGTCACAATTTTAGAACAGAATCATTACAAATCAAGAATACAGAGAGAAACAGCTGAGATAAAAATTTATACGCATGATGGACACCCATATAAATGAACTGAACATAAACCTAGGTTTCTTACTTCATTACCAAATGTAGTACTTATGATGTTTATCTACTGCCACTGTTATTTGCTTCACTACCACCAGACCATCTCTCATCACGAAACTCAAAGGTTAAAAACTGCCACTATTCCCTACATGAACACACGTAGCTTCTCTGCCATCTTATTTTACTTTTATGTATTCTTCCTCCTGGTTGAGTTTTTAACAGTCTTCACCTCCCCATCTCTTTTTTGCTCACGCCTGTCATCTGTTTTCTCTCTCCTGGAGGAATGTTTACAACCTAACACCAAACACAGGCCATAAATCACTGCATGTGAGATGTAACCAAATATCCAATTCAGAAAAAAGACTCTTACAACCAATAAATATTTAGTACATTTTACTTGTGCATTCGTATTTCATCCATCATTTCATTTTTTCCCCGTATGTCTGATGAAGAAGACTCCTCCTTCAAAGCTCACATTAAAACATAATAGTTAGTCTTTAAAGCGCCACATGTTTTTGTCTTTTGTTTCGTTTCTTTGAATTTTCCACAATTCAAATAAATTCCAATACAAATCTGGCTGGCAAAGGATACATTAATATGGGAGATTAAAAGTAAACATTACTTTCATAAATTCCTCAAGTTGCACAGAAAAATAAACAAGAACCACAGGTTTACAACACTTGTAGGAAGAAACTCATATGTTGCTACAAGAGCAGTGTTCTGTTATAAAAAGATATATCAACTGTCTTATAATTACAACCTCCCTTTTCCTGTCACATCTACTTTTTTTCCAGCCCAAACGAATCCCATAAATCTAGAACTGTTCATACAGAACACAGGGCAGGTTTTGACAATGTTGGCCACCTGTTATAACAAATGGATACAACTGAAATTGTTCAAATACCTTCTTTGAGGAGACAGGAAATTCTAGTCAGCCACATTATGTAAAAAAGGCCTTGGTTACCTTCCTAACTAATCAAAGTTCAACTGAATTCCACTCTGGATTGCACCCTAAAGTAACTCTGTTTCAATTACTGCTTAATCAAATGAACTCCATTGGGCTCATCTGTCTTTCTTCATTAAACTCACCAGCCACCAAACTGTCACTGGCACCAAGCCTTTTCAGAGCCTTAGTCACCTCTCAAATATCTTCCTCCAGAATCCCACAAGGTCATGTATACTACAAGCAGAGCTATTTAATCTTTTTGAAAACAAAGGTTATTTTATTTGCCATCAGACTTCACCAGCCTCGTGCACTCCACATCTGGCAAAATGGCAGACACATAGGCCCTTGCTGGATTACAGGATGACAGAAGTTGCTGTCTAGCACATTTGGGGGTGTCTCTTGCAGGTTCTTAGCATCTCAGGTTCTGAAAATTGTAATTACAAACAAACAAAAAATACCCTATTCTGCTTTTCCAGCCTATTTCATTTCAGAGAGTTGCCTGCAAGCTATTTAACAACTGAGGGCCATGCCCACTACTGCAGACTCAATGAAACAATAGGACCCACATTACTGCAAATATAATTAGTCCCATTTATTCTGTAGTTCTACAATATTAAGACCAACTAGTGGATTTAGCCCAAAGTTTTAGCATGTTTAAAAATCTGTAATAATCAGAATCACTTGAGTCATCTGCACTTCTGCAATTAGCCACCATGGAGAGCAATGACAAACCGGCCATGACTAGCATTTGGTACAACAGCTAGTACTTCAGCCTGCAGGCACTCAAGCCATTAGTGTGATTGATTGCAGCTACAGATACTACTTTAAAAGCTACCCACAGAAATTATACATAAAGCAAGCAATTGCTAACATTAGAATCCTGCATTTCAAACCTCATTCCGTCAGCTTCAATGCAGAGGTAGCTGAACAACAGCATTGTACATGATTATGTGTTTCTGTGCTGCCAGGTTGGAACCGGCTTATAGCACCCCTAATAGGACTTTCAAGGTAAGTGGGATATTTAAGGAGTGGCTTTACCAGTTCCATTCCCCCCCAGTGGGTTTCCATGACTAGGTGAGTATTTGAACCCTGTTCGACAGAGTCCTAGTCTGTCACTCATCCACTATACCACACTGGGAATCCAGGTACACAATTAGCAATGTTAAAACTACAATAGTAGGTGGTGGCAAAGGATCACCTCAGAGTGTGCACACTCATTTGTGTGCTACAAAATGGCAACAAGGGATTGCACTGACTAGGTCAGAATTATAAGAACACAATTATTAGAATCCCAACATGCCACTTCTTTCTTCTTTAGCAGGTACAGCTGTGCCCCTTCTAGAAGAAAGCCTATCTGACTGCTATTAATCATCCTTCAGTCACATCCAAACCTGACTGCTACAATGCATCTTGAAAAGGCATTTAGGACCTTCCACTGGTGCAAATGGAGAGGCTGAACTGATATCTGGAGCCCACTTTATAAGTCATATTACTGAATTTGTGTCCCATCTGTGCTGGCTTTCTAGTGCAGGTTCTTGCATTTAAAGCCGTAAACAATTTGGAACCACAAAATCGGAGGGATTTGCTTCATGTAATGCCAACTTGCTTTGGCATCAATGTCCCCTTCCTTAAGAGACAGGGTTGCTTGGGGCAAGTGCAAAACTCCTTCTCTGTTGCAGCACCCAACATCTGGAACCCCATTTCTAAAGATATTTCATTTACTCCAGCCCTCTTAAGCTTTAGACATTTGGTTAGAATCTGTGTTTCAACTTCCCTAACCTACAACAATCATCGGATCCCGGCCGTAAAAGTCTTCGAGAATACATATTCTTTTAACTTCTGAAAAAAAATTAAATGTTTCTTATAGTCTCCCTTGTTGTTTTAGTAATTTATTCTGGTCTCATTTTAACTGTATTCAGATTGATTTGAATTACTTTCTTCCATGCTTTACACAACAAATTTTCTGAGAGAGCTATTGTCAGTCTGAAAAAAGTCTTCAAATGGAACATATTAATCAAGCTACCTATCTGTATGATGCTTAGCTTACACATATACAAGGGCATTCAGCCCTGTGACCCAAATCTGCAGAAGGCGGGTCTCCTATTCTGCCCTTTGTCTACCTCCCTCATATGCAAAGTTAAATCCCACTGGAAATGTATTCGCAAAGGTTTTGGAAATGTATTCGCGAAAACCCACCCACACAGACTGGTACCTACACAAAAACTCCAACCAACACCCACAGCAAAAAAAGAGGCATAATCAAAACACTGGTAGACCGTGCCAATCGGAACTGTGAAGCTCAATTTCTCAGCACCAAACTCAACCACTTGAATTGGACCCTACAGGCAAATGGCTACTCCAAAAATGAAACCACAAGAGCCATCAAACCAAGAAAACAACACCAAAAAAAAAACAAAAAACAGCCACCCACAAATAAAGTATTTCTGCCATACATCAAAGGGGTCACGGACTGCATGGGAAAACTTTTGAAAAAACACAACCTACAAACAGTATTCAAGCTCACCACAAAAATACAACAAATGTTACAGTCAGCAAAGAACAGAAGGGACCCCTTCACCACTGCAGGAGTATACTGGATAGCTTGCAGTTGTGGCCAGGTAGTCTAAAAC